GTTAAGAACATTCTTATCAAAGGACGGTCACGACATGGAACAGTCGGGGCCCTCGACCCTATGCCTAACCGACGTATCCATCAGACAGGCTACGGCGAGGCGGGGGGAAGCCAAATAAGCACTAACGCCCCAGTTGCAGACAGTCTCAACACAGCAGAGTGCGGGTGACGGTTACCAGGCTGCGGGTGCGGCGAGCGGTTACCAGGTGCCAGGCTATGGCGAGACGAGGGAAAGCCAAACATACACTGACGCCCCAGGTGCAGACAGTCTCAACGCAGAGCAGAGCGCGGGGACGGTTACCAGACGGCTGTTACGGCGAGTGGTTACGACCTAGAGACAAGAGCTATGCAGAGCAGCTCAAATTGAATTGGCAGACTACGCACGCGGACGAAAGGAGTGGCATATAGCGAGAGCCAGAAGCCAGAATATTGACTCTCTGAAGATGAATAGGTGAGATAGCTATCCGAAACGTCAGATAACAAATAAACCTCTCCCGGTGAATATCCTTCTCTCCATATACTTTGGTTAAAAGGTTCTAAACGAGTCAGCAGTTCACTGGATACTTACGTCTTAACAAAGCCAAACAACTATATTTGATTGATCGGAGGTTTTTGCAAATTTGAATAATAAATTTGGTCCAATCGTGAAAAACTCGGCGACCTCAGTGGAATTCGAACCTATGACAGCGAGGAAAGGCTGCAGTACAGCCAGCGCTCTAGCAACTTAAGCTATCAGGCCTCAACAGAAGCTACGCGTAAGACAACACTTGGGTACAGTTACCCGTCCAGCTTTCTGCAACGTATGAGCTCCACCAATTCTGATACAGTAAGCTTGCTGCTAGTCCTTTGGTGGATTGTACAACGATTGCTTAGGAACTCCTGCTAGGGCACTCGGGTTACTGTATCAGTAATTATGGATTTAATACGTTGCGTTTGGCTGAATGTGTAACCTGACCCTAGTTTTCTTACATACACGACTTCCGGTAGGTCGTCGAAGCTTAGGTTGGTAGAGCGTAGGCCGTAATGAAGTCTTTCCCTTGTTGGCATGGGTTCGAATCTCACCGATGCCGCCAAATTTGCACAATTGAGTGAAGTGAATCCTCGTTTAAACGGCGGACCTTGTGCACGTTGTATTTCCGCCTGCCAATGGAAGAACTTTCCACACAGGCTGTCGAACTTCCAGCTTGTTGATGTTATCAAACAGCTTTTTGTTAAAACTGTCTGCAACAGTAATTGTTTGAGTAAAGTTGTTTATTTTTTATCCACTTAAAAATTTGAGGAGACCACAACAGGACATTACACTGTGAAATATCACATTTTCATCCGCTGTAAGCAATTTGTAAAAATACGGAAACTTGAGGCGTTAAACGTGCTTCTGGTATGCTCTACAACCTACAAGCGCTGACGCATTAGATGTAAACCCAAGCATGTTGTCGGCCGCCTGCAGTTCGGTTATTTTTTGCTGAAGTCAACGGGCATATTCGCGGTTTTTTCGCGGCAGAGAGTCGGTCCGTTTATAACCCCGTTACCTCGCCGCAAAACGTAGCGCACGTAAGGTCTCGCTTTGTCCCCGAAAGGATGCAAGGCGACTGTCTGTGGAAATGGAAATGCCAAAAGCCGACGTTAAAACTCGTTAAAAGTCATATAACATTGTAGTTTGCCAGTACGCAGCGGATGCCCTGTCAGGAAAAGCTTATATCCTAAAGATTTTGCACTTAAATGGAAGTCTAATTCAGAGGTTCAGACTTACGCATGCGGGTTACCTTTTTTCCAAACTTTTTTATCAAGCAAGCTTCAAGTAGGGCATCATGTAACCGGTAACAGACCACACGGCAATC